GTCAGGTCCGGGTGATACGCAATAGTCATGTCCACTGCCTCCTCTTCAATACCCTCACTCCTCAGAAAACGGGTGATCAACCCCCCATAACAGAATCTCCACCGCATATTATTTCAAAATTTCATCATATTTTGCCTCAGAATTGACCCAATATTAATGGGCATACTTTTCATCAACATGTAAACTAACACCACCCTAGCCCGAGTTACCTCAGTTAAATGTTTAGCCGGCAACAACACACTACACACTAATTTTAGCCACACCCGAGCAACCTAATTAAAGTTAGCAAAATGGAGGGTATTATGCCTCCCAGTATCCTTACTCCGCTCCCACCTAGCAGTCGAATCAACCCCACACAAGGTATGTCGGATATCCCTATAAGGAGGTTTATCCTTCAAGCTATTAAACTCATCAGGGTCACAATTCAGGGTTCCTAACAAGTCATTCAGAATTCGGGCAGAAAACCTGACATCTTTCCCCCTAACCGGCATAGTTTTATATTTTGTTTCAGTTAACCAATTTGCATAAAATTCTCTCACTAACGTCAAATTGCAATCTCCCGGATCATCAAAGATGAAATGCAAACCCAAATCATTAACAGTCGGATATATAGCAGGAAATTGTGACTGTAACCGTACCTCATTCACAAATTCGTCGCCCATATACTTCGCCTCTTGTTGACATGCAAACCAGTCCCATCCATACCTTTCGACAGCCTTTTTGCCAAATTTTTGAACCGGTTCCTGATCGCTAGAGCATCTGGATGCTTCGCCCTTTCTACTTCGCTTAGACCCCGCCACATTCTTCACCTTAGGTGCCATTGAAACCTGTTAAGAAGAGAAAACTAGATGGAAGATTAGAATGAATGGGGGAGTCGGATTGGTTATTGAGGAGAGAAGAAAAAGAATATGGTTGGAGGAGGAGGATGGTTTAGAAGTGAAAGAGAAGAGGGGAAGTGGAGGATTTATAGTTGGTGGTGGGGAAGAAGAAGAGTTTGGATGGGAGTAAAAATGGAGAAAGTAGAAGATGAAAGGTGAGAAGAAGAAGAAGAGTTGGAGAGAAGTTGGGGGTTTTTGGGCGGTTTGTATGAGAATGGGGGAGATAATTGGGAGTTTGTAGGGATTTAAGGGGAGTGGGTCGGGCTTTCTCCGGGTAAAAACCCATATTGTTCAAAAATCTGGGCAGGGACGCGATAGGGGCGCGATGTGCCAGTATAGCGCCTGAAAAGGTGCTCTGAACTTATCTGCCAGGCGCGGCGCGCCTGCCAGTGCGCCTGGCTACAGTTAAATTTTTTTTACAAATAATAAAAGAAAAAATCTTATCTAACTATAACTAACCTACATTCTAAGAATTGAAATTACGCTAAAATAATTTTTTTCAAGAATTCGAAGACATATTATCTATTTGTTACATTTTGTTCATGGGTTGCCTCCCATGTAGCGCTTGATTTAACATCGCGGCAAGACACAGCTTGGATCATTCATCATTTAGCTCAAGAGCTTCTCGATCATGATCCGAATCCTCACCGAAATAGTGCTTCACTCTTTGCCCATTGACCAAGAAAGTAGGGCCAGTCTCACCTTGAAGTTCAACGCCCCATGTTGAGTCATTCTAACCAGTTTGAATGGACCACTCCACTTCGACCTTAGTTTTCTGGGGAATAACCTTAGTCTAGAGTTGAAGAGTAGTACATTACCTCCTGGATTGGAGGTATGAGCTACAATGTGCTTGTCATGCCAACTCTTTGTCTTTTCTTTGTATAGCTTGGCATTCTCATAAGCATGGAGCCTAAAGTCCTCAAGTTCATGCAGTTGATTCACTCTCTTTTTACCGGCTAGCTCGGGGTCTAAGTTCAGCTTCTTAATTGCCTAATATGCCTGATGCACTAATTCCACCGGAAGGTGACATGCCTTCCCAAATACTATGTGATAGGGAGAAGTCCCTATTGGTATCTTGTACGCAGTCCTATATGCCCACAACGCATCATCTAGTTTATCATACCAATCTTTCCTTAGCGCATTCACCATTTTTTGCAAAATTTGCTTCACCTCTCTATTTGACACCTCCACTTGACCACTTGTTTGAGGATGGTAAGCTGTAGCAACCTTATGACGAATACCATACTTAGCAAGAAGATTCTTAACAAGATGGTTAATGAAATGCTTACCTCCATCACTTATAATTGCCCTTGGAGTGCCAAAGCGAGTGAAGATGTGCTTCCTGATGAACTTTATCACCACCCTTGAATCGTTGGAAGGAAGAGCTACAACCTCCACCTATTTACTCACATAATCCACAGCCACAAGAATGTATTGGTTTCCACTAGATGGTGGAAAGGGACCCATGAAGTCAATACCCCACACATCAAATATTTCCACCTCCAAAATGTTACTGAGTGACATCTCATGTCTTCTTGAAATAGTACCCACCCTTTGGCATTTATCACAACCCTTCACAAAAGAAATATAATCTATAAATAAAGAGGGCCAAAAGAAACCAGATTGTAGTACCTTATGAGCAGTACGCTCTCCTCCATGGTGACCTCCATATGGACTAGTATGGCAACTCTCAAGCACTTTGTGAACCTCAGATTCAGGAATGCACCGTCTCACTACCCGATCTATGCCTTGTTTAAACAAGAATGGTTCATCCCAAATGTAGAACTTGGCATCATGATTGAGCTTTTTCTTTTGTTGGGTGGTTGCACCCGGAGGATAATCGCCACTTACTATCAAATTCACAATGTCTGCATACCATGGTACTTCAGAGATATCTAGTGCCATCAATTGTTCGTCCGGAAACTCTTCCTGAATTTGCTCACCTTAGTTCACATGTGAAAAATCCTCCAACCTAGATAAGTGATCTGCTATTTGATTCTCAATACCTTTCCTATCTTTGATCTCCAGGTCAAATTCTTGGAGAAGCAATATCCATCGAATTAGCCTTGGTTTAGCATCCTTCTTGTTGAATAGGTATCTAATAGCTGCATGGTCAGTAAACACAATCACTTTAGTACCTACCAAATACGATCTGAACTTGTCGAAGGCGAACACTAGAGCTAGCATTTCCTTCTCAGTCACTGTATAATTAGCTTGTGTAGCATCAAGGGTCTTGCTTGCATAATAGATCGAGTGGAACAATTTATTCTTTCCTTGTCCCAACATTGCACCCACTGCTACGTCGCTTGCATCACAGATGAGTTCAAATGGTAATTCCCAATCAGGGGCAATTAAGATGGGAGCTTCAATTAAGTTCCTCTTCAACATTTCAAAAGCTTTTAAGTAAATCCCATTGAAGTCAAACTTCACCTCCTTCTCCAAGAGACTGCACATAGGTCTTGTAATCTTGGAAAAATCCTTGATGAATCGCCTGTTAAAACCTGCATGACCAAGAAAACTTCGCACACCTTTGACAGAAATGGGAGGGGGCAATTTCTCAATAACTTCTACCTTAGCCTTATCAACCTCCAAACCAGATTTAGACACCTTGTGTCCCAACACTATCCCCTCTTTTACCAAGAAATGACACTTTTTCCAGTTCAACACTAAGTTAGTGTCCTCACATCTAGCAAGTACTTTATCAAGATTTCGGAGACATACCTCAAAAGACTTCCCAAAGACAGAGAAATCATCCATGAACACCTCTACAAAGTCTTCTACCATATCATGAAAAATGGCCATCATACACCTTTGAAAAGTTGTTGGTGCATTGCAAAGTCCGAATGGCATACGTTTGAAAGCATAGGTACCATAAGGACAAGTGAACGTGGTCTTTTCCTGATCCTCGGGTGCAATCAAGATCTGGTTGTAACCGGAATACCCATCTAAGAAACAATAGTACTCCTGTCCTGCTAGTTGGTCAAGCATCTGATCAATGAAGGGAACGGGGTAGTGATCTTTCCGGGTAGCATCATTTAGTTTCCGGTAATCCATGCAAATTCTCCACCCGGTTACTGTTCTAGCAGGAATCAACTCATTCTTTTCGTTCCTTACCACTGTCATACCTCCTTTCTTGGGAACACATTGTACCAGACTTACCCACTTACTATCAAAGATTGGGTACACAATTCCAGCATCTAGCCACTTTATTACCTCTTTTCTCACCACTTCTTTCATCAAAGGATTTAGTCGACGTTGATGTTGTGCACTTGGCTTGTGATCCTCTTCCATGTAGATTATGTGCATACATAATGCTGGACTAATCCCATGGATGTTAGCCATATGCCATCCAATAGCTCTCTTTCTCCGCTTTAGAATCCGCAATGCCGCTCCAACTTGAAATTCAGACAACTCTGCAGAAAGTATAACAGACAAAGTTTCATTAATACCCAAGAATGCATACCTGAGGTGAGCCGACAATGTTTTCAGTTCCAGCTTTGGGGCCTCCTCAATGGAGGGTTTTGGTGGTGGCCCTAACTCACGCTCTAATGGTTCTACTCTCCGCTTGTGAGGCTCCACCAGTGCCAGATTCAGATATGTTTCTATCTCTTGAGCCTCAATGTCTTCATATCTCTTATGACTTACTCACACTCTTCCTAATGGGTCGTCAGGCACAACTGAATGTGCCTCTACTAGGCGATCAACCACAGTATTAGCAGACAATTCTTTATAAATAGAAGGTAATTTTAGAGCGCGGTAAACATCAAATACCTCGACCTTATCGTGTGCCCTCATGGTTAATTGACCTACTGCTACATCAATCAATTCCTTACCCGAGGCCAAAAAAGGACGTCCCAAAATGAATGAAACTTCAAGATCGGGTTCAAAGTCTAATACCACAAAATCTACCGAAAAAATCAATGAACCTATTTGCACTAACACATCTTCTACCACCCCCTCTGGCAAGTTGAAGAATAACAGTGGTTCTTTTTGGACTACCCAACCCAGTTTTAGATACAAAGATAAGGGCATCAAATTTATACTAGCCCCCAAATCACAGAACCCCCAGGCGTGAACACTTTGCCCAATTGTAATCTGCACAGTAAAGCTGCCCGGATCTTTTCACTTTTTGGGCAGTCTGTTTTGAATCCTTGAGTTGCACTCCTCAGTAAGTGCTACGGTTTCATATTCCGTGAGCCTCCTCTTGCTAGACACAATGTCCTTCACGTATTTAGCATACTTCGATATACCCTGCAAAATATCAACCAAAGGTAGATTAATGTGAACTTGTTTAAGGAGAGAGAGAAACTTACCGAAGCATTCATCCTCATTCTGCTTTTTGAGCCATTGTGGAAATGGAGGTGGTAATTTCTTTTGAGGAACAGATACCTCAACATTGGAGCTTTTTACTACCTCTTCCATCTTCTTTGGTTTGTTACTTTCCTCAATGTCTCTCTTCTTTGGAGCTAGTTCTTCTAAGTGCAGCCCACCTCTAGTACTTACCGCATGCAATTGCTTTGGATTGGGCTCAGTATCATCGGGTAGCCCACCTTGGGGACGTAAGTTCAGAGAATTGGCCACTTGCGCAACTTGTTTCTCTAAACTCATTTGGGACATCTGGATGTTTCTAATGTTCTCATCCTGCTTATCTATTCTAGCATTTAATTTTGTCCCTATTTCAGTCATGAGCTTTTGGAGTAGCTCTTCATTAGTCATCCCCCCTTTTTGTGCACTAGTATTTGAGCTTTGGTTAGGATTGTAGTACTGTTGCCCAGCCCCTTGAGAATGGTATTGGTTAACCCCTTGCGTCTGATTTTGGTTTTGATTACCACCCCACGAGAAGTTAGGATGGTTCTTCCAACTGGGATTGTAAGTATTACCATAGTTTTGTTGCCCTACACCCCTCTGCGCATTACCCACATAGTTTACGGAATCCGGGTTTGCCTCACATTGCTCGGTTTCGTGAGTTCCACTACCACATACTTCACACCAATTTGATGCCTGTTGTACTACATTTACCGGAGCCTGATTTAGAGTTATTTGTTTAAATTTCAATGTAATGTTATGTTGCATTGCATCTAATTTGGCATTTATGGCAGTAGCTTGGTCTACATCTAAGATCCCTGCAACCTTTTGGGTTGAATTTCTAGACATTTCACCCTCATACCCTTGGTTCCCTTCAGAGAGTTTATCGAGTAAGGCGAAAAATTCTTCACTTGTTATGGCTAGGGCCTGTCCACCTGCTGTGCTATTAAGAAAAGAACGAGCATTATAGTCTAAACCTTCAAAGAAAGTGTGACAAAGTACCTCATTGGTTTGTATGTGGTGCGGGCAAGCATTCAACATTTGTTTGAAGCGCGCCCATGCTTGGTACATGTCCTATCCTTGCTGTTGAGCAAAGTTTATTATCTCACCCCTCAGCTTGGCGGTTTTCTTGGATGGAAAAAGTTGACTCAAGAACTTCTTTGCTAAATCATCCCAAGTAGTGATGGAGTTTGGTGGCTCAGAGTCTAACGAACGCCTTGCAGCTCCTAGCAATGAGTATGGGAACAAAGTCAACTTTACATAGTCTGATGAGACTCCAATTGGGATGTATGTATTGGTAATGTCTATGAAAGTCCTAAGATGGACTTGAGGATCCTCATGGGGGAGACCAGTGAATTGCCCATTAGTATGGAGGATATGCACCATGTTCTGCTTTAGTTCAAATCTACCCCCTGGTGGAGGTTTCCTAATACTGGATGCCAGGTTGGCTGTAAGTGGGACTGCCACATCACGAACTGGTCTTGCGGGAACAACATGCGGTTCTGCTTGGTTATTCGGGTTCCTTGGGTTATTCACGTTATTCGGGTTATTCACATTGTCTTGATTATCATCATCAAAGTTTCCCGGAATACCTAACCCCAATTCTCCTTGTCGTTCCTGATTCATTTTTCTGCGCTGGTGTAAAATTCTTTCCGGTTTGTTGTAAGGTTCGACAAGATCTCCTTTCCGAGCCAGACCTGAAAGTCAAGTACCTGCAATACACAAGCTAAGAACAAGTATTAATATCTGAATATATTGGTGTAGACTTAAGAAGTTTGAATATAAATCAATTTCTAAGTCCCCGGCAGCGGCGCCAAAAACTTGGTGCTCCCTAGTATACACGCAAGTGTACGTGGTCGCGTAAGTAATATAGATTCTTGAAGAAATGAGTTATCGTTCCCAAGGGACTTATAATTAATTTATATTTACCACTTAATTCTACCAATAAAAGTAAAAGTAATCTTTTCAAAGAGTTGATGATTAATTATTAACTACTATTGATTATAGACTAAATGAAAGTAACTAATTGTGAACGATTTTGATATAATGTTTCAAGCAGGTTTAAAGCAATTCCAGGGCTGTAGCATCCACTGAATATCATTTATCATTTTATTGGCATAGAACTAATTTCAGTTGTCAAGTTATTGGTTTACAGGGTTAATTGTATGAGTCGGGCTACACACCTCTAGTCGCCTACTCCAATTAGCTATCTAACTACATTGTTGAGCGGGGATAAATAGACTAACTGGCGAGCATTTATATTTCATCTTGTTTCGTAACCAAGCGAGTTGTTCGTTCGGGCGTCACTCCTGAACACAAATCACCTCGACTTAACGGGTCGATCAAACTCTCTATATTCTCTGGTCTATCCAACCTCTCCTCTCTCGATGTTAAGGTTAGACACTAAATTTATCTCTAGATGGCCAGTCAAGAAATACTAAAACAAGAATATAGAAGTAACTCATAATGACAACCAAGAATTAATTCATAAAACCTCAAATAATCAACAATTCATTCGTAGCTACAGCCCCAGAACTAGGGCGTTTTAGCTACTCATGCTATTAGAAAACAAGAACGTACAATTGTTCATTCAAATTCTGGAAAATAGAAGAGTTAAAGGATTAAGACCTGTTACAAACTTGAATTCTTGCTCTTGCACACTAAATCAAAAGTCGACCTTACTAATGAACCCTATGGGTCTATTTATAATAATTAGAAATACTAAGACCCAATCCTAAACCAACAAAGAGTCATATTTAGTTGAATATTCGCTGGAAAAGTCGGCATTATGGTGGGGCGCTGCACCTCTCATTGCGCCTGAAACTTGCCTCTAAAGTTCCCTCCTTGGCGCGCCGCGCCTAGCAGCGCGCCTGAGAGACGTCTCTGAACTTTTTACCCAGGCGCGTCGCGCCTCTCAGAGCACCTGGCCCTAGGGTCTTTATCCTTGGCCGCTTTTCATGCTCTTTCACATCTCTTTTCTTCAAGTTGACTCTAATTCCTTTGAGAGTTCCTGAAAGAACTAATCATGTGTGTAAGTGTACAATCCTTACATGTTACACCAAACATTAAGTTAATAACTAGAGATCATCTTTTAATCTTATTGACTTATGGGCAATTATTGGCAACTTAGGCATATAAATATGCCTAAGATCAATTATAGGTATCTGCCTCCATGCCCCACATGATATGATATAGGTGTTCACCTCCACACCATTTTACAAGGATCATAAGTATTCGCCTCCATTCCCTACATGATATGATATGGGTATTCGCCTCCACACGATTTTATAAGGATCATAGGTATTCGCCTTTATACCCCACATGATATGATATAGGTATTCTCCTCCACACAATTTTATAAGGATCATAGGTATTCGGCTCCATCCCCCCACATGATTTGATATAAGTATTCACCTCTACACCATTTTGTAAGTATCATAGGTATTTTCTTCCATATCCAACATAAAGGCTTATGGGTATTCACCTCTTGCCTTGATCTAAAATTTATTTATGGAAAAACTATAGAATATGGCAAACATGAAGATACATTTAAAATAAATAGCTATAGTTTATTTTTATTATGTTATATGGATATAACTATACAATAAATAGCAAAGTTAATTATATACCAATAATTTGTTTTTCTTATATATATATATTTAATATAAATAAATATTAAATAGGAAAGTTATTATTACACTCATAATTAATTATGTCTTCATCAATACTTTCTCTTTCATCAATATCCCTATATCACATATTTTTTGTATTTTCCCCCAAATTTCATCCAATTCAAGATCATTTTGTATGATTCTAGGAGCGATTTTTGTGATTTGAATTCATTAGGTATTTTCTAATTGATTTTTTCCTCCTTTTTATGAAAATTTTATTTGTAGACATATATTTTCATCTATTTTTATAGGGTTTTGATTGAAGAATTTACTTTTCATGAAAATTATTTTGCTTTTATACTTTTCTTTCCATGGAGAAATTGCATATCTCCTTGCGATGAGTGTCACCTCTACTGCTGGAGCCATCTCCTTGTCCCGAGGTGCCGATGAGAGACTCCCTGGCGTCTCTATGAGATGGAGCGTGGGGGATACCCGCAGTTCAATGGAGCCATTGGGTTACCGTTGTTAGCAGAGGGTGTAGAGAGAGAATTTTGTTGTTTGTCAAATTTGTATATAGTATAATACTTATATACATAGATAATTGTATTGTAATATTAACACAAGTTGAAATAGTGATCTGTGAATACAAGTATATTTGGATACATAAGTTATATATCCAATTTGAAAGGTCGATTAGGCAATACAAGTATAGTTGGATACATTAATACTATATTTTTATAAATAAATAAATATATAAGTTAACACCAAGCCTCAAGTATTATAGGAAAATTTTGACCAAAAAGAGATTGACGTTTTGTTGGCTTTTTCAATTTTTTATACAGCCGAATACTTACATTTGATACCTACACATTCTATTGTTTTTTCATTTTTCTTATTTAAAAATAGTGTATTCATATGTATACTGTATTGGTGTGTTCATTTTTGGTTTAACAATAGTGTATCCATGCATTTTCCAAATTGTTGTGTTCATATGCTAAAATTGTACTACTTTACCTTGTTTGATGTATTAATACATTAAGTTTTTATAAATACTTGTATACTTGATATATTAATACTTTAAGTTTTATAAATAGAAACACCAATTTGAATTCAAAGTATTCATATGCTAATTGTACAAGTAATATATTTTCCTTATTTAGTTATTGTAATTACAACTGTATTAGTGTATAAATAGAAAAATAAAAATCATATACAAAAATGCAGCGAGAAAAAGACATAAATACTCTTTTATATTCAAAATATTATGAATACCTTTATAATTATTAGTTTGTGAATATATTGTATTTATGAATATAGATACAACTTACTATTGTATTATGTGAATGAATCGGGATATGCATTCAATATGTAAATATTAGTTGGTATTTTAATAATGAAAATTTGAGTGATTTAGGGACATAATAAAAGGTTGGCAGTTATGGTAACATACCATACCTTATTTAGTACATTGTAAGATCATTGTATAAATAATAGTAAAAAAATTAATACAAACATGCAGCTAGAAGTTGACATAAAGTGTAGTCATTTTTAGTAAATAACATATTTATAGCTATTGAACTTCGATAACCCTATAAATATAGTCATTTTTGTAAGTTGCTCTTTATTTATTAAGGGTAGTCACCTCACATTCATCATTACATGACATGGGGAATCACCTCATGATTTCTAACTTAGGAATAGGGGAAATCACCTCACATCCTTCTCATATGAAGATCTTGGGGAATAACCTCAAACCTCATCACATCTCATAGTCCTTTGACTTAGATTCATTTTAGGTGACCAAGCCTTTCAACCTAGAATTATTCTATATGAGAAAACCTTTCACATTTATACATTTATACATTCGTAGAGTAGGTCATGTGGCTAAATCCTTCCACAACAATCCTATCTACAAATCAACATTCATATATACAAGATTTAATCTCAAAGCCCTAATCATAAAAGTTCATCATGTAAGATTTACACTAAAATCCCTACAAATCATCATTCATCATACATGCCTTAGTCTCAAGACAATCCTAATCTCAAAGCCTACAAGACATAATTCATCATATATACTTTGATCTCAAACAATTCATGTATATGATTTACTTTTAAGCAATTAATGTTTATAAACTCTAATCTCAAGAAATCTACAATGTATCTCATCCATCCTAGAAGAATACATCTAAATCCTCAATTTCCCCTTTTATGGCATAAAAGCCACTTGCTTCAATTTCAGCTATCTAGACATGGGTTAGGCATGGTTACATGTAATTTCAATCAAAAAACAAGTAATTCTACCAATTCAATCATAAACAATCATAATCCACTTAATTGAATCAAAACCCATAACATTAGAAGAAACCCTAACTAGAATTAGGGAATTCTTCTTCTAAATTGGGGAAATCATGGGGGCTCTATGGATGAAAGAATTCCATGCATGAGAATCCATCAAACCTTGATTCCAAAGCCCATAAAATCTTGAGGATTGGAGACTTGACCTTGGTCCTAACTAGAACTCTTTCTTCTTCTCCAAGTTCTAGAGAGAGAAATATTTGAGAGGAAGAACATTGGGATTCTTTTGGGGTTTTAGAAATAATGTCTTGAATGGTGAGTTTAAAGGGTTACAATCACTTATATAGGTGTACTAGGCGTAGGCAAAATGACTTTACTTTAATCTAACTCAAACCGGAAAGTCCCAAAATACCCCCATTTGGCAGCCCATTGTCCAGCCTTATGAGGGAACCATGAGCCATGGTCCTCACCACTGGCCGTGATCCTGCTAGTGGTCTTTGACTAGTGGCTAGGCCACCTTTCCTTGGCCCCTAAGAGTTGAAGGCATCACCACAAGCCTTCCCACGAGCCGTGGTCATCACCACTGGCCGTGAAGTGGCTCGTGAAGATGAGTCCAACTTGGGCAACCCTTGGGGAGCTATTGCTTCACCACCAAGGGTTGTATCACGATCCGTGGTGGCCACCACGAGCCGTCAAGGCTTCCGTGAAAGGTGGGCA